AAACTACCTGATGAATTACGGTGGTTTTTAGAGCTGATAGGAACCACGACGATGGCGCAGATCTGGAAGAACTGAACGCGATGATGTTCATGAGGGTGGTACAAAGATCTTCGAGCATATTGAGAGATAACATGATGACGTTTTCCTCTCTGGATAAATTTCCTCGCGATGGTGAGTGTTTTTTGTTGTTGTTGTTGCTATTTTTAAAATTTGAAATTTTTCGTTTTCGTATAGGTGTGATCTCGTGGAATGAGTATCTGACGGACTTTTTGATGAAGCTCGGTGTTTCATTGGATGGCTCCAAGGAGAAAACTGATGAAGCCGCGAAAGCATTGAATAGAACCATGAAGGGTAAATCTGTTTTGCTTTCAAGAACATATTGTGATTGAAATCTACCTAAGTTTAATTCATGTTGCAGAGGAAATAATGGGCTTGAAAGCCGCTTGGTTTGAATCTGTTCGAGGGGACCCTGACAGACTGAACATTGACGAGTTCTTGGCATTCCGTCATCCCGAGCAATCTCACTCATTTTTGTTGAAAATAGTGGAAGATGTTGCAAACATTCTTGGTCAGTTCCTTCGAATCTACGTTTAGGATTTTTGAATTACTTTTGAACCTTGATGACTCGAACCTCCCTATGTCAAATCTTTTCCAAGTCCCTGTTTCGAATTTCATTTCTTCGAAGTGCCTTGAAAACCTCTAACTGAAAGACTTTTCTCCGTAAATGTTTCCAACTCGAATTTTTGGTGGGTGGCCTTTTGGATATGATCGTATTGACACAGGAAAGTAGAAAGCTCTAAAAATGTAATTGGTTGCATTTTGAGAGGAAGTGAAAGACTAATTGGACAAGTAAACCCTTGTCTACAAGTTCAGAATTTTGTCAACTCATTTAAACAGCAATTTGAGGTCCCGAATTTCACCAGTTACAATTTTCTGTAATTCTTTTTTCTTTCCCAGAAGAAACCTGCTTCTTTCCCTAGCTCGAATTTTTTTTTTCTGGTTCCTTGAATTCTATTTAGAGAGGTACATTTGTCTAAAAAAATCTTTTTTCGTGGAATTGGAATCGAATTGTAGATACCAACGGAGATGGAGTTCTGAATTTGGGAGAATTCACGGAACTCAAACTGGACGATGTGAGCATGGATAACTTTGCGCTCAGGTCCTTGTTCGACAAAGATTTGAAGACGCTATTTAAAGTGGTTGACATCGACGGGAAAGGAACTGTCAATCGTCAAGAGCTTT